TGAGCACATTGGGCGGTATGCGTCCGATTGCCACCAAGCAGGAGAGATTTGTTGTCTGATCGTCGCTATCGCCCTCCTGTTCCTCATCCTTGATGGGCGTCCATGACTTCAGGTAGCCGGTGCACTGAATAACTCGATACTTGTGATCTATACTCAGCTTGGACTTGCGCTTGGTGGAGCTGCGCGAGCTGGACGACGTGTCTGATTCCTCCTTGATTTGATTGTTTGCGGCACGCAGTTTCATGCGGCAAAAGAAGGAGCGACGGGCACCAGGACACAGGCGGCAGAGACTCTGAGGGACGTCTGTCTTCACGGGAAGCATGGCTGAGTAAGAAAAAATGTGTCCAATTAAGCATAGGATTTGCCAAACTACTAGCTTCTATTCACTCACTCTTCGCATCAATGAGGCGCTCCCTTGGGCACTGCTCAAGCGAGGAGAGCTGCTCTTTGACCTTGCCAATATCCTTCGGATGCAGGACATCGAACCAGCTCTGCCCCAACAGATCCGCCTGCGTGCAGTCCAAGACACTGGACACCGACTCGGACACATAAAGGATGCGTCCACGATCACAACCCACAACGAACAGAAACCCCTCCGAGGCCTGCAATATTATCATCTTCAACTCCTGGTCCGACATGAAGCTCGGCCTAAAGTCGGCACCAACGTACGGATGCAGACTGCCGCTGCCTCGGATCCCGCGCAAATGCTGCACCGCCATCCGCAGCACCGTGAGCTTGTCTAGCTTCCGCTGCATTGCATAGCACATGGGTATCATGGAGGAGAGCTCGTTGATGCACTTGTTCATCTTGTCCCTGCGCCGCTTCTCGATCTCACTGTGGTTTTGTCTAGCAGATACAAATGGAATAGTTATTATCGATTCTACCACACGCATCGTCATTTTCCATACTTGCGGTTCTCATCCGAAGTACGATTGGCCGGTTTCTCATCATCAAAGTCCTCTTCCAAGTCCTCCTGATTCTCGCTGAAATATTTAAAACAAAGGATAGGAGTGGGAATTAAATAAACAACCCCATTTTGTTTGTGCTGCAACCTGCTATTAACTGCAGAGGACATCATGGAAACGGTTGATGCAAGTGCGTCCGTTTGTGTTTCTTCGGGGCTTTTAAGGCTTAACATTCACTTAAAGCAGCCACTTATTTATGTAAAAGTAACAATTAGAAAAACCTACAAAAATTCTTGCATTGCAAGTCCGATAACTGTGTTCAGTTCGTCTATCGAATGAATGTGATGCCAGACTTTTAGAGAGGCAGCTTTGTAACGCGACAATCGATAACATATTTTTGAAAATTACAATGAATACATTTTTTTTCCAAAAAATCAGCATCATATTTATTTCTTTGAGCTTAACAAATGCATTCTAAGATACTGGATAACAAATTATGCGAAATAAAACACAACTACGGCTATCAAACACACATTTATAAATAACATGAACTCTAGATATAATCTGAACTTAAATATGATACATCTTATCCAAGCATATTGTAATGACCTGCATGTAACGATCCCATAGACAGCGTGTTTCCTGATCCCTGCAGAAAATAATATTTGAATACAGTAGGTACTGCTAATAATGCATCAAAATATAATTTACCTCGAAATTTCCAAATCCAGAACGCTCTGTGTTATGGAGGACAGAAATTTATTAACCTGCTCTCGGTTCCAGCCGTTCTGACGCCAAGGGTCTATCAGTTTATCGCATAGATCAACAAAAAGATCGCGCAGCTCTCGATTGCGATGCAGATTACAGGCGATTGTGATCAGAGCGCGCCAATACGAGCTATGATGCAACATATGATTATAGAATCAGTACTTTTAAGCAATTAAACTCCTCACCGAAAGTTTCCGTCCAACTCGTGAAAAGCACGCTCAAGAAGAACAGGCTTGAGGCGTAGGCATACAAGGCTGTAAAAAAGGATTAATATAAAATATATTAAGATAATGGGAGGCTTGCAAACCTACTGTTTTATCTCCTTTTCCTTATCCAGCAGGCAGCGCAGTTCGCGTAGATCTAGTAAGAACTCCTTGTCCATTTCGGTGTCGTAGTACTCAGGGCCAGTGTGCTAAAAATAAAATTAACTCCCAATTTAGACCGCTTAAGTAAGTAATATAAAGGTGTTTCAACCTGCCTGGTACGTGTAGGTCCAGTATATCATAATTGAGTGCGAGCAGGTCAACAAATCACTGAAACTTAAGTACTGCAGCTTTTTTTTGGTCGTTTCAAAGCGCAAGCAGGCCAGGAACACGATACAGGCATACTTTCTATAAAAAATCAGGAGTTAACTTTAAACTGTGTTAACTTTTTTACAGACACCTCCTACTTGGCCAGATCGTTGGATATGAAGAAGTGCTGCTTTATGTTGTTAGTCAGCGTTCCAGGCATCTCCTCCACAGCTTTGAATATGCGCTTTACGTTGTCGAATTGTCGGCTGTTAATACTCGTAGGAGCATGAAATTAAGGAACAATTATCCTTGGCGTTGAAAATCAACCTACCGGCAGGACTTCAGCTTGACGCACGTCTTCTCAGCCACTTCATCCAAATCCTTGCGGTATCGAGATGTCAGTTTTTTTCCCAGTATTTCTCGTGCTACAACATCATCAATGGAATAGTATTTCTCTGTGATCATGTCTCGCATATGTGGCTCTAGTTGGAAGCAGGATTGCTCCATCAGCTTCGTGGGCGCGTGCAGATATAGTTCAATCAGCGAATAGGTGCGGTAGTGGTCCAGCACATCGGAGGCAATCAAGTCACTTGGTGCTCCCATTGAATGGCCAAAACCCTTCTGTTTCAAATAGGAGACGGCTTCGCTTGCTACCAAGGGAATCACATTGTAATCACAACAGATAAGTAGAAGGTACAATGAACACTTACAGGAAAACCCTTCGATCCATAGCTGGTAAATTTCTGGATCTACAAGGGTGTAATTACTTATAAAGACATCTACATCGGCCTGCAAATAAGGAATATTACATTCTGATTTTGTAGGATTATATTTTATCATTTATTTACCATTTTATTTACAACTATGACCGATAGACCGATAGATGGATGTCGCGATAGAGATGGGCCATCCGTCCATGACAGATCCAACCCTAATCCGACCTGATACATCTATGTACAACGGTTACATTTTCAAATATATTATAAACTTCACGTTTAATAATTGTATATTTGTTTTATCTTTTTAAAAGCATAGGATTTAGATCAGCAAAATTCTCCATGGACGAAATCAGGGATGATATTCGTAAGGAAACGATTAAAATGCATGCCATGCCCTTTTTTTTCGCAGACGAGTACTTAGATCAGCCAAAAGAAAATCCGATTAATACTGGAAAGGCAACCTGGGCAGGAGCGAAATATAGAAACTCTATCTTTCGTCGACCCAAATATTGTGGAGCTTTCTCAGGGCATTGTCGTTCTTCAGCGCCACAGCGTCCACAAATAGTATAGTATAGCAAGCCAATAGTGCTTTTATAAAAAATTTTGAATTTTGAATTGATTTTTTTTTGTAAGCAAACAACAGTGTAACCGTAGAGCATGTACATCTGGTCACACTCTGTCCCGAGCTAAATATATGGAAGTTGAAAAAGACAGAGACAGCCTAAAGAGAAAAACATGCATAAGAGCGAGAGAGATATATGCGTCCAGTAGGTTTTCCAGTTGAGCTGGATTGATTGATTGTCGCAATTTTCCGAACATAATTTTGTCAGAAATAGTGCCTCATTTATTCGATTGACAGCCGGGAGATGTGTTTAGAGACGGCTGCGAACACTAATTTTGCGTGCTTTCTATCATGCTCATCTCATCTCTCTCTCTTCGCAGCAAATTTATCAAAGCCGAATATCATAACAGCTTAATAGATGGAACTTATCGGCGTCAGCTATCGATATACCACATCAATGTTTTATCCCCATTTACGGTATATTATATACTTTTCTGTATAGTTTATATATTTTATTTACTGTATATCGGTATATAACGGTATATTTCATTAAAGTTATATTAAATTTGTAAAGGTATACTGAAGAACACAGAGTATAAAAACTTCCATACGCATGTTTTTTTAGTTTTTTATCTCTCAAGTCGTTCCTCCCTGCATCATTTATTCCAATTGATTGCATTTATATCCTTGTCACATTGTGCCACAACATCATGAAATTATGCAAGGTAATCCATTCCCTCTCTTCGAGTCCAGGATATAGAAATATAGATTCAATATAGAAAATATCATAGGTCCATAAATGTCAATCTATGAAAAAAGACGTTATAGACGTTTCTAATCAGCTTGGGAAACAGTATTTTAATATTATTTAAGGAAATATTTAAGGAAATAGAGTATATTATATATTATTATACTAAATTATATTATATTATATTGACAAGCAACAAGTGTTCAAATACCAGAAACATATAAGAAATTACACAACATTCCATACACACACGTTACATTTCATGCACACTTACGTTTGAAGCTTTGACCTTTTTTGTTTAAGCCTTATCTCACATCCAATCAAATAAAAAGTAGTTCTTAAAATAAGCATATATTTCAGAAAATTGATTCATCAATCGGGTAAAATTATGTTTTCAGGGCTGACTTAGCTAGTAATATTAATCCGAGTATCAAAATCGAGGAATATGATTTCTGATCATGAAGAGAGAACGATTAACCCATTGTAGACTAGTGGGTATTAAAATACACTCCACGAAAATGATGATATTTGAAGAATTTTAGCGCAGTTCTGGTGAAATATATCATGGAAATTTTGTTTTTTGGAAAAGAAAAACTACAAACAGTATTATTTTTCGCAGTTCAACTCAAGTTACTACCATGTTTAAATGAAGGGGGCTTACGAGGGCTACGTTCCTTTTTTCATCGGTATATTCGGTCACACTGATCATGAGGAAGAGGAAGAGGATATCAACTTTAAGAGATTTTTTAAAGTTTTTAGCTTAAAAAATGTAAATTGCAATATATTGTATACTGTAAATAGAAGAAAATGAATCGCCAACGCGAATGCCACAAACTACACATGTAAATTGTAAATGGTGTGCGCGGGAAACACAAACTGCAGGCGCAACAGCAACAGCACGCACCAACCACAACAGACGTCCAATTGCAATTCGCAGCACTTCGATGAGTTAATATTAAGAAATAAAAGTGGAAACATTAGTGGTAGAACAAGTGAAAGTGAATTCAGTGCGCTAGTGGCACACCAATAATGGAACAGGTCGATTCCACTGCAACTGAGCTGCACATAAGCAGGATACGTGAAGTGAAAGACTTGGCCGACGATGTGCGCGATGTTGTGAAAGAAGAGGTGATATTAGAAAGCCCGGGCCATCACCATCATCATCATCACCACCAGGTAATGAAACAGAAACAAAATTTGTCTCTTGGCGGTAAGGGTGGATGTGGCTGTGGCTGTGTCTGTGCATGTGACTCCGGATCCGAATGTGGTTCATTCTGATTCTGGTTCTGGCTCCTCGCGCTCTGCCACTGCCACTGCCACTGGCTCCGTCTCTGCTCTGCTCTGCGCAGTAGTGAAAAGTCTGTCCATGTGTGCGTGCATGTGTGGTAGTGGGTTGGGTGGAGGGGGGTTGGCCTGCTCCAAGCGGAGCAAGCGGCCCACTGGGCAATCCAATCCCAACCCCCACAGAACGCCGACGTACAGCACATACCACCCCACCCGCTCACGCTCACGCTCCCGCACCCCCTCCCCAAGCCATCAGATTTTGTGGCGCAAATTGTTGTGTATACCGATTTTCATTTTTCCCATGCTGTGTTGTTTACTTACATTCGAATTTTCTTCTTTGATTCCTTGGCAAATCGCATCGCATCGCTTGAAATAAAACTACACGAATCGAAAATACAAATACGACAATTGGCAATTGGACACTCAACCACATTCATGTGACGAACGTTGGAATATGTGCGCTATGGTAATGCAGTTGGATTCTAAGGTTCGCATGGTCACATCCTCCTCAAACGACAACAGCGGCAGCGGCTCCGGTGGTGGAGCAGGAGGAGGCGGTGTTGTCTCTGTGCCAGTTTCACTGCCCATCGGATCAATGATAACCGGCACCACCTTTAATGTGATTACGCCCGATCAGCTCCCCACCCACTTCAAGCCGATGCTGTGCGTCGACAACAATGGCTACCTTTCCGGTGGCACGGTCAGCATGGGCAACGACCTCAAGACGATCGTCATCCAGCAGCAGCAGACACAGGCCAGCGGCGGAGGAGGGGGCTCCAACAGTGCTGGAGCCAACACAAATGCCACCAACACACTTGGACTGAATCATGACGGCTCTGGGAGCAGGGCCCCCAGCGAGGACAGTCTTGTCCTCGAGCATGCGGGTGGCGGTGGTCAACCAACGGGCTCCACCGGCTGGGCAGAGAACACATCAACCCAACACATGGAGGTCTTCCAGATCCGTTGTAAAACCACCTGCGCCGAACTATATCGCAGCAAACTGGGATCTGGCGGCCGTGGGCGCTGCGTCAAGTACAAGGAGAAGTGGCACACGCCTAGCGAGTTCGAGAATGTGTGCGGCCGGGGCTCGAGCAAAGACTGGAAGCGCTCCATCAAGTACGGTGGCAAGTCGCTACAATCGCTCATCGACGAGGGCACACTCACGCCCCATGCAACTAACTGCAGCTGCACCGTCTGCTGCGACGATGAAGCAGGTGAGTCAGGTGAGACGAACAAAAACCATAAACCCTGGTCACCAGCACCTCGGTCCATTCATTAAGGCCTTCCCAAGTACAGTGAACTCGCCACACAACTACAGTTGCACTGCCACTACAGTTCTATAGATTATAAAACGATTCGGTTTCACTTTATCCGCATCAACTGTTGGTTAGCTAGAAGAGAGTAGGCTGTACTGATTGGTGTGGAGAGTACGGGCAACCCATGTAGTTCTGGCGGGTTCACTGTAACACATTTGGTCGAATAGAAGAGCATTTTTAAACCAAATTTGATTGAATTTAGCATCCGGTCCTGTACGTCTATTCACACCGTACAAGCGACGAAAGCGAAATCAAACGGATCTCGATATGGAGCCTGGTCCCAAGCGCAAGCGTAATACCCATCATAGCAACAACAATAATAATAGCAACACTAACAACAATAACAACAATACGAGCGGTAACAGCGCCAACAACAATATAGATATGTCGGCGGCCAATGCGGCTGCTGCTGTGGCGGCAACCTCCACCGTTGTGGATGAGAACATGTTTTTGGCCGAGGAGAACATCACGTCTAAGGATGAGCCGTGGGCGGCGCTAAACGACAGCCTAGACACCTCCACCGAGCTGGTTGACCAATCGCAAATGGGCAATGCCTACGAGCGTGAAACGTTCGTGGTGAACATCAATGATGGGGCCTCCATTGCCGTCCTGGACAACAGTCAATCGATGAAGAACATCGAGCATGTCTACTGCACCATGGTCAAGGCAACCAATGACTTTAAGCGTCTGCTCAACGAAATGAAGCAGTCGTACGAGCGTCGCATCGAGGTTTTGCAAAAGGAGCGCGATGCGGCGGTCAGTGCGATGCGCGTACAGGTTCACGCGGACATCGATGATCCAAATATATCTGGCTCCCTGCACGGAAATGAGATCATATCGGCCAAAAAGGTAAATTCGCTTGACACCGAATTCACCCGAATTTTTTTAATACGAGCATTTGCTTTAATTTATTGACTAGTGCGCCAACTGTAACCGCGAGGCATTGGCTGAATGCTCGCTGTGCCGGAAGACGCCGTACTGCTCGGAGTTTTGCCAGCGCAAGGATTGGAATGCTCATCAGGTGGAGTGCACAAGGAATCCGCAAGCGACAACGCAGCAGGTCATGCTGTTGATCGATGATCAGTCCTAAGCAACCTAACGAAATGTACATACAAATTTTACTACTAATAATACGAATATACAAAGTTCCCCCTTTTCCTATACCTCCCTATTGTCCCAATCCCTTACCCACACTTCGAAGCCCATTAGCAAGCCTCTATCCTTTTAGACTTATGTCCTACATTAATGTAATTCTTAACGTACATATAACTATATAAATATATATATGTATTGATATATATATATATACATTTTACTATTGAACGTAGGGCAAGCCAACAAAAAATACAAAATAAATAAAAAAAGAACAACAAAAATATAATTAATTAAAAATGAGAGAATAACGTAGCAAGCAAAAATCAAAGCAAGTGCAAAGGCGTAGAAAATTAATTAAGCTACATTTTGAACGTAACAAAACCTAAACAGATTACTTGTAATTCAATTTAAATTAAATTAAATTTAGTAATAGTTGCAAGGCGCATAGCATAACTAACAGGGAGCCACAGCCACCCCATCCCATCCCATCACAACCCGACACTGAACACGAAACTGAACCCAATTCCCCAAACCCCACACAGATTGCAAACTCTTTTGCATTGATTGAGGGGAAGGACAACCCAACCAACAAAGAGAAGATGACACAAATTCTGGAATTACAATTCGAGTACATATTCCTCTATGTATACATTTTTCATTAGACTCTAAGCACATAGTTAAACTTTTAACATTTTACTATTATAATTTAATGGATACTACTGCCCGTTACAAGCATCCAATAAAGATTTCAAACAAAAATAACTGATCGGTAGCCAGGAAATAAATGAAATTCAAACTACACACCACCCTCTCTATTCATATTATCCCTGCCTCAACACCACCCCCACACCACCAGCCCCAGCCACAGCCCCATCACGCCACGCCCTCACAATAACCAAAATGTAAAACATTAACAAAATAAAATAATAATAACAGTTAGCTAGTTGTGTGTAAATGTGTCTCGTAGGGTTTTCCCGATTGTAAAGTTTCTTGCCGTTACCCTCTGCCTCAGCCTTCAGCTGATGTAACACCTTTCTTATAGTCTGTAGTCCCATATGCTAATACATTCATACATACAAACCAACATACATACATACGTATATATATAACTTTAAACAACTGCTAGCTGTATATTCAAATTCCAGCATACACGCAGATGTAAAGAAATCTAGAATTTGAATTTCGGAGACATTTATTGCCGACCGAACAGATCACTCCACGCCACGCCACGCCACGAAATCCTTAATGTGTCTCTGTGATGGTTTCGTTTCGGATGTTGTTGCATTACTCTCGTAAAGTTACAATTAAACCTGGCAGAACACCTCAACACAAGCGTGGCCAACAGAGCGGCAGAGAGGGGTGACAGATGAAAAGAACAAAAAATAAAAATACATACATCTAAATGTACAAAAGCTTATCTTGTGTCGTGTTCCTTTTTGTTCCTTTTTTTATGGAACTTTCAAATTATGCATGTACCAATACTCGAAGTGGCTAATGAGCGTAGTAGTTGGTTTGGTAGTCAAATATCTATAATGATTCTTCTAAATAGTAGGATCCTACTTTGGATCCTCGTTAACGGCCTGACTAGATCATGGGACACGGTACCCGATTATCCGGATCCCTGCCTGAAGTTCCAGCGAGGCTATCGCGCCCTAATCGGAACCTTACCTGGTCCCATGCTCGACGGGAGTGAAAGGCACTGGCTGTTATATTGTGATCGATTCGATGCTAGAGCCGATACGATCCCAGAGAAAATACATGGACCAAATCAGCTTTATCAACGATTCCATTCAGCCCCAATCGTTACACATCCGGGCAATAGCATCTCTGGCATGGAAGTGGCGTTCAAGAAGCTCCCCTGCTGTGGCCGGACATATTAATACCGTATAAAGATGATGTCGGAGTGAATATGTTCGTGTTAACAGTGTGGATCCCAGCTAATGTGGTGATTGTAAATCCCGCTATCAACTGTTTCGACGGTGAATATGAAACTTGCAGCGGAATCGCGGCAAAGCGGCAGGGGGAGCATAACCTTGCCGCGTTGGTCCCATGCCTATCTGGGACGTCCCCCATCCGAAGGGTGGCTCAACAAAATGCGATTAGTTATCTCGCAAACGAAGTGGAATGGAATGGAAGTGGATAGGTGTATGGCTATCCGGCAAAATTCGAAAAACACCAGCTATAGCTTTACGATTTATCCGCTCGCAGCTAAGGAAATCTGATTGACGATAGATTCTCATAATATGTGGATTTCTTGTTAGTTGTTAGTTGGTACTATTATGCACATGTTTCATTTATTATTATTGCGTTCATCATGTTGCTGGTGTTGCATTATTATCCATATTATCATTATGCTTATTATTATTGTATTCTATTACCAAAAATAATTTCTTAAAACTTGTTTGTTTATCAATTACTTTAAGTTTGCTTTCGCGCAACTGCTCGGGGATTGAGTGTTTTGTTTTGCTATATAATTCGAATCATAATTCGGTGCATTTACGTTTTGTATTTGCATTTTCGCCAGCGGTAGCTTGGTAATTTCACTTTTCTCTCGAACTACAATTACGAGAATTACATAGAACGCAGAAGAACGAACTCCACCGGAGGAAAAGAGCTACAATACAAGTCTAAAATATGGGATCTGGGGAGTGGGTGTTTTAGTGGTAGTGAGGGTTTTGTGTACATAGAACGAAGCCGATATATATCAATACATATATGCATATATATATAAACGGTTTGTTTTTGGGCTTGGGTGGCATTAGTAACTAATTTGTGTGATTGGTTTGTCATTATTTTTTGTTTTGTTTAAAGATGTTTGTGGTTTTGTATGGTTTAATAATTATAAAGTGTTTTCGGCTCATTAGAAATTGATACAAAACATATATGTACGTAGGTATGTATAAATAACGTGCCTAAAATTTATAACATTTCTCAATTGGCTAAATAAAAAAGTTGATGGGTATTTTTCTGCTGCCCAACGAAGTAAAGTAAATAATAGGTGTAAAGAATTGCCAAATGGGTCCCTAAGTGGCTCAAACATCTACTTTTGCTTTTTGTTTAGAAACGCAACGTTCAAACGGTTAGGCTTGTGGGTGAACAAGCCCAATGGAAGGACATGGGAGGATTAGTATAGTATTTAACTTAATTTGAGAGATGCCCTCTGCCCCACAGCTGGGTGGAGGAGGAAGGAGGGTGGCGCAGGTGGCGCTTTAAGCAAAACATTTTTACATACAACACACAATCGTTAGATCTCGCTATCTTCACTTTTCTCTTCGTTTGGAATCACAAATGTTAGCTAGTATTTAAATACACATGTAGGTAAGATATTCAAAAAGGAAAATTAAGTTTTTGTTTAGCGTGGAGAATGCTCTTGCTCTTGGTGGTGATGGTGTTAGAGAGACGGCGACGGCGACGACGGCTATGGTGGTGAAAATACGAGTATGGGTGGCAAAGTGCGGCAACCTCGAAGATGCTACTGCTTCTGCTCCTTCTCCTGCTTTTGCTACGAGTCCTGATTCACTCCAAATTTCGCACCTCGAATCGCTTGTACGTGTAGTTGATAAAGACCCAATCCTTGGCAATCTCACCGCCCTGCGGTATAGGCGCTGATGCTGAAAAGGAGATTGAATTATTCATTCATAAGAACGTCAGTCAGGAGGAGCACGATCAGTCTTACGTATCTCCAGCGAGACATCAGGAAATTCATCGAAATTGGACGTATCATCAATGGAGCGCACCTCAACGGGTATGGCCGCTGGTCGCTCCCGTATATGCTCCCAGTCGACGCCGCGGAAGAACGGCACCGACTTCAGGTCCTCCAGTCCACGCTGCGAGCCCAACCGGCGATCCGCCTCACAGCAGAATTTGATGATCGTCTCCTTTGCCTCCTCCGATATGGGGATTTCTGGTGGAAAGATAAGGGTCTCGCGCCAGTTCATTACCTTGCGGTAGGTGTCCTGCGGATTATCTGAGCAGAATGGTGGATAGCCCATTAGCATTTCGTACATGATGACGCCCAGCGACCACCAATCGCAGGCTGGTCCATATCCAGTCTGCAGAAATACTTCGGGTGCAATGTAATCCGGCGTTCCAACTGTGCTGTAGGCAAGGGCACGTCGATTCCGTTTCCACGACTCGGCCCGCCTCTTCGAATCCATGGGACTGCAAAAGGATCGGAAATATGCACGCCCAATTAAAATATTACTCAAATGGAAACCAGTGGCAGTTGTCGATGCCTCACCTTGCACAGGTGCCAATGAAATCTGATGGTTTCGCTTGCGACAAGTCCCGATAAAAGTCTGTTCGATGTGACTTCTTCAGACCAGTGCAGAGTCCAAAATCGGAGAGCTGAACGGCAAACGGGAAAGCGGTTTAGTTCTGAAGAAGAGACTGGTATGCTCACTGTCTTCGCTCACCTTGAGATGCCCTCGAGCATCGAGCAGCAAATTGTCAGGCTTAATGTCCCTGTGTATGAAACCGAGTTTGTGTATCGAGTCGATCGCCAGCGCCGTCTCGCTGATGTAGAACTGTGTGCCCTCTTCTGATAGTGTGTCCTTTTTCATCAACAGCGTCATCATGTCCCCGCCAGGCAAGAACTCCATTATCAAATATAAATTGACCTGATCCTGCAGTCCAAAATAAAAGAAGCTCAGTATTTTGCAGTATTTGCAGGTAAATGTGTACTGTGAAGCCTCTTAATAGAGGACATTATTATAATATAAGGAGAAGACGCTACGAGTGCATCCAGGCAGTTTAATTTGTATGGCATACTATACTATAGGCACGTTCGCCTGTGGCTTTGAGCTTTCATTGGGAAGAGGAAGACAACGCGCAACAAAAACAAAGGCAGACCATATGATTAGGCGCTGCTTTGCCATTTTGCTAGTTGCACTTGTATTGGTTTATTGATTTTCTGCCGTTTTAAACACAATTCTTTTGTATTCCTTCTGCCTGTTGTACTGGCTGCTGCTGCTTTTGTTTTGGTCGGATCCACTTACCTGAAAACTATAGTACATCTTGACCACCCACTGATGATCGGCCTCCACAAGAACATCACGCTCGGCCCGTACATGCGCCACTTGTTCTTTCTCGAGCATATCGGCCTTGCGGAGCACTTTCATAGCGTAGACATGTCCCGTGTCCTTTTTTTGCACCAATCGCACCTCACCGAATGCACCGCGCCCGATGACTTTCAACGCCTCAAAATCCTCGACACCCAGACGTAATCGCTTGAGACGCAAATATTCCGTCTCTTTTTGCGCATGCTGTAAGCGTTTCTCCTGACGTTGCGACTCTGTTAGACTTTCGTCCTTCAGCTGGGCCTCCAATTTAGCCAGGCGCTGCTTACGCTCGCCGTATTGTGTCACCAAGTTACTGTAGTAATTCTCCAACGTCACCTTGGCCTTGGTGGCCTTGTCCAGTGTGTGATCGCTGAATCTGATTGAGGAACCGTCCGTGTCCGTTCTGCTGCTCATCATCTAAACTGTGCTGCTTGTTTTTATTTGTTGACTGTGTTGCCTGTTGTGTGGTTCGTGCAGCAGGCTGGCTTTGGTCACTGTTGGCTTTGTGTGGGAAGGAGTTATGCACTTGCCAAAGCACACACAAAGCTCGTTTGTATATTTTCTTGCCTTTTTCCTCAGTAATTTGTTGAAATTCCTCCCTTTCACAGCTTCTTCTTTCAATGGCCATTCGCATTTTTCCAAGAGAGGTTGGTATATCGACTGATATCGGATTAGGGCAGCGAAGCTGGCGAAGAGAATATATCGAAATGTATCGAAAATACCAAAGAAGAAAACTAACATTAATTAATTAGGCAAAAGCTCCACTTCAAAGATTGAAAGATGACAAAAACAAGATAATGGCTCGTATTACAAACTTTTCTGATCTGAACCGTAGCTGTGTACTGTTTATTTTCAAGTTTCTGAGTTTGGAGGACCAGCTCCATCTGGCTCGGTGCTGTAGGGGCTTTCGGGACGCCTTTGTCCAACTGCACCGCCATCATTTCCACGACGTTATTGACCGGGAGACGAATCTGAGAACCCTAGATGATTGGCAAACGTTTCTTTGGCTGTGCGGTGGCAGTATCAGGAGCATCCAATCGTACTTCGACGACGATCATCCCCTCCAACTGCTGCCAATGATCAGCAAGTACTGCTACCGACTCGAGAGTATAACGATAAACAATGCGACGGTGGCCAGGACACAGCCGTATTTGCTGAAAATCACCTCGCTGAGGAAAGTGCACGTCCGCAACTACAAGAGCACTAGCAAGGATTTGATAAAGGCCATGCAGATACGCTTGCCACACATAACCAGTCTGGGCCTGGAAAGTTTCGAGCGTCGGGAGTGTAAGAAGACTAATTACCTTACACCTTACCCTAAAAATAACACTAAGATCATTTTGTCTTTTCTGTTGGCAGTGCAAGAAGTGGTACACTTCAGAAATCTAGTGGAGCTCCTGATGTACGACGAGGTAACTGCCTCGGAGTTCACAGCAATCATCAAACCCATGAGCAATCTGCGTAGTCTTCAGCTGCGCAACGCCAAACGATTCCTGACCACTAGCTCTCTCAGGTATTTGGCCTCAACTTGTCGCCATCTAGAGAAGCTATCTTTCAACGACTGCGATGCCGATCTGACACTTCTGTCACAGTTCTCTAATTTAAAATACTTGCAAATATATTGCCCGGAAGAGCTGAAAGGGCGCTTCTTCAAAGCTTTGGCCAGCAACTGCTCTTCGCATTTGGAGTTCCTCATACTCCATCGCAAACGGTGGATCAACGAGGAGCAAGCCCAACACATCAGTGCCTTAAAATCGCTTAAGTGGCTTGTCTGCAAGCCCCGCGACGACAGCTGCGTACAACATATAGCGAAACTCAGCCAACTGGAGTGTGTTTCCTTTCAGTGCGCCCGAGAAATAGGTGAACAGAAGCTATCGATTATGGTGGCCAACAATGATCAGCTTCGCTATTTAAACATTTGTTACTGCCTGGGCATAACAGATTCCTTTGTCCTGGACACTTTGGAGAGTCTGGCCAAGCGTGCATTCCAGCCTCTGCACCTGTTCGCAGCTGCCACCGACATCAGGCACGACATAATGGAAAGAGTAAGTTGTAAAAGTCGATTGGAATGGAGTTTGTAAAGTGTTACATCCCCTCCTCTGTCCTTAGCTACCGCCTGATTATCCCCTAAAGATGCTCTGTCTGAATTTTGAGTGCAGCGAAGGAATAACTGGCAACAATCATTTTTATATTGATGAACCAGAATTCGATCGCCAAGCTGTTTAAGGCTTTCGATCGTCCAATAATTATTCCGTTTTTCATTACCAAAAATCAATCTAAAATATCTTTGTTTTAAACTTTTTTGTGATTTTATCACTTGAGTGATATTAGATGAATAATGCACAACGATGTAATCCAATTTTTTAATTAATTAAATTAAATTAAAATCAAATCAAGTTTGAAATTTTAAACAGCTGACTCAAACCGATAGCACAAAACGCGATAACGTATCGTTTTCTTTTTAGTCGCATCTCTAATATTGGTTGCCTATTAACGAGAAGGTTCTTAAACTTCTCTCATTCCTAAACCCTAAAGACATAGTCAATGGCCAATTATCAGATTTGCATGACCTGTATAAAAGATTTCCTCAACTTATTAAAGATCCGCAGGGAATCGATAATGAATTTGCCCTCTTAAAAAATGATGAGGTTCTTTTTAGTTTATTAAAACACACACAAAAGTCCTGGCCATTTCTGGTATACATTGGGACAAATAAAAGATTTCAACAGTGAGCTAAAATATGAAAAAATTTCAAAATTTGCACAAGTACTGCTTATATTGCCAGTTTCGAATGCATCATGTGAAAGAATTTTCTCCGAAGTGAACTTAATAAGAACAAATACAAGAAATAGATTTAAGAATATAAATTTTTAAAATCTTTTATATGTGAGACAAGGTCTAAGGAAGAACAACGGTTGCGAGAATTTTTAACAGAACACTGGAATGCTGTTAAAAAATCCCAGCGACATCGTTAGTGACGATAGTGATGTTAGTGATTAGTATATTAATAAGACTTTATTATTATTAATAAGTCTTATTAAGCCTTAAGATTATTAAATGAAATGATCTCCAATTACATGAAAGCACTGTTTTGTTACATATTTTTTTCATCGGTATTTTCTACGGTATATTTTGAAAATGAGGCGGTATGTTTCGGTATATTTCTGAGGGTAGGACGGTATATTGTATCGATAAATCCGCGGTCACACTGCTCTAATATTGGTTGTCTTTCTGAGTGCATAAAAAGGAAAAGAAGAAAAAGGAAAAATCGTGTGAAAAACGCATTACAGAGCCGCCAAGATGCTCTCAATGCTGCAGGAAAAGCGTCCGCTCAAGCGTACACGCCTCGGCCCACCGGATATATATCCACAGGACGCCAAGCAGCGCGAGGACGAACTGACGCCCACGAATGTGAAACATGGCTTCACCACAACACCGCCATTGTCCGACGAGTTTGGCACGGCGCACAGCTCAAATGTGAACGCCAGTAGGGTTAGTGCCTTCTTCAGCGGGGTGCTGGCCAAAAAGGAGGAGTTGATGACGCTGCCGGATACTGGACGCAAGAAACAGCAGATCAACTGCAAGGACAACTTCTGGCCAGTCTCGCCCCGACGCAAGTGCATAGTGGACGCCTGGTTTAAGGACTTGGCTGGCAACAAACCGCTTCTCAGTTTGGCCAAACGCGCTCCATCCTTCAACAAAAAGGAAGAGATTTTTATAACGCTCTGCGAAAACCAGGTCAACATGCAGCGGGCGACGTGGTTCATCAAGCTAAGTGCCGCCTACACGCTTAGCTTCACCGAGTCGAAGAACAAAAAGCGCAGCATCTACGATCCGGCTGCCGAGTGGACGGGCAACATGATCAAATTCATGAAGGAACTGCTGCCCAAACTGCAGGAATACTATCAGCAGAGTAAGTACATACTATACAGGAAACTAAATGAAATCGTCTTATGACATCTCCATTGCTTCAGCCCACGACAAGGCCTCGTCGAATGGCAGCCACTCCGCTGGCCTGACTACCGCCTCCAGCGGTAACAGCAACGGAATCTCGGTGAACAGCTCCGGGGGCAATGCCGCGCCCCCAAGTGCCACAGCGAATGTAATTCCAGTGCCCAGCATGTCCAGCCCCCTGCCGCCGATACACAGTCCAGCCAATGGCCAACCGAGCACGGCCGGGGGAGTAGTAGGATCCGGCAGTGTCATACCACCAGCCGGAGCTCTCGGCGGAGGCGTTAGTTCGGGTCCGGGTGGGCCGGGTGGATCCTCTGCGAACAGCAGCACGGCTGTGGGAGCACCTGTACCTCCCGGTTCGAGCATATCCGGCATTGGCAGCCAGTTTGAGGACAGCCGAAATGCATTAAAGTACTGGAAGTACTGTCACCAGCTGAGCAAATACATGTACGAGGAGTCGCTGCTGGACCGACAGGAATTCCTGAACTGGATACTCGATTTGCTGGACAAGATGCGCACGCAGGCCAGCTTTGACGAGCCGCTGAAGAAGCTTGTGCTTAGCTTCGCTCTCCAGTACATGCACGACTTTGTCCAGTCGGAGCGACTGTGCCGGAAAATGGCCTACATTGTGTCCAAAAAACTGGCGCAGCTCCTTAACGCGGCCGTAGAGCAGCAAGGGATTAAGGATGTCGACGGAGGAGTGGGAGCTGGAGCTGGAGGTGGAGAGAACAAGCTTCAGCACGATCCATTTGAGTTGGCTCTGCAAGAGCAGATGAGTTGCCCCCATCATCGGGATATTGTCTTGTACCTGAGCACCATTCTCCAGATTATCACCATCGAATGCCCCACGGCTCTGGTCTGGAGTGGTATAGCAGCGCATCGAGCCCCCTCTTCCCTGGTGGGCAGTCCGCTGGATCATCTCCCGCTGGCCCCCTCCGTGCTACCCATGCCCACGCGATGTCCGCGCACCAATACGGAAATACGCCGCCAGCTGCGCGCCGCCGAGTCTGAGATTGTGCTCCGGACGCAACATGCAGAGCAGCGGTGGTTCGCCTCCAAGTGGCTCAGTGCAGGAAAGAACCACTACACCAAAGTGCTGGCCACTCTGGATCACCTGGACACTCACTGCTTCGATCGCATGGAGCAGTGCAACAGTATTGACACGCTATATGTGCACATCTTCCCCAGGAGGCGCGACGAGGATCAGCAGGACCCTCAGCAGCAGCAGCAGCCACGCCCCGTGTATGAGCCCAAACAGGACAAGGATACGGTGCGGATTCTGTGCGAATGGGCTGTCTCCAGTCAGCGCTGGGGCGAGCACCGGGCCATGGTAGTGGCCAATCTGTTGGACAAACGTCAGATAGATGTGACCAGCACGCCCTCCGAGCAGTCTAGCGACAAGGAGGATAAGGACTCCCTGGCCTCGGGGGCCGGCCTGATTGATGGCCTGCCAGTATTCCAGCATGTGCTGATGCACTTCCTCGACCACGATGCCCCCGTGCTGGATGATCACTTGAGCAGTGCCCAGCAGCGAACGGAGTTCACGAATCTGGTCCAGCTCTTCAGTGCCCTGATCCGTCACGATGTCTTTTCGCACAATGCATATATGCACACGCTGATCTCCAGAGGCGATCTGCTAAGTCTCGAGTCTGTCCTGGCGAGCAAATCATCGACAACGGCCACCAAAAGCTCGCCAGCGGCGGCAGCGACACAGGCCACAACGACGCATGGGTTCGATGACGACCCCTTCGGCGGGGGCATTGACTTTAAGCACAACGAATTCGACGACTCCAACGTGGACGACGATCTGGACAAGCTGGTGCAGAACATCAAGGAGAAGGGGCAGCACGATGCGCCCGACAGCCCCAAGATCGGACCGCCAGGCGATGGGGAACCCAGCACGGGTGGAGCAGGGGGCAGCATATCCCGCCACTACGTCTACACCAAGCACTTTCCCATACCACAGGACGAGTCCAGCTACAGCAGCGAGAGCAACCAGAGGTATATTCTTCTGTTTGGCGTGGGCAAAGAGCGCGACGAGAAGAAGCACGCGGTGAAAAAGATGTCCAAGGAGATCGGAAAGCTCTTTACCAAGAAGTTCAGTATCGACGTGGCCGAGGGCGGCAAGGTGAAGAAGCATTCGCGCAACGAATTCAACTTCGAGGCCACGACAGCCAAGTGCCAGCAGATGGCATACTTCGATCAGCACGTGGTCACCGCCCAGTGCGCGGCCAATGTGTTGGAACAGCTCAACGGATTCGCCCTCGGCAACAACAACTATCTGCCGGTGCAGGAGCACGTCGCCTTCCTGTTCGATCTCATGGAGTTGGCCCTCAACATCTACAGTCTGCTGGAGTTGTGCGACAATCTGCTCAAGGAGCTGCCTGAGGTGGAGCACCAGCTGCAGCTGAAGAAGTCCAACATGGTGCGGGGCTACACCACCTCCCTGGCCCTGTATATCGTCAGCATTCTGCGGCGATACCACAGTTGCCTGCTCCTCTCCCCCGAGCAGACGCTATCAGTATTCGAGGGCGTCTGTCGCACCATTCGCCACGTGAACAATCCCAGCGAGTGCAGCTCTGCGGAGCGCTGCATCCTCGCCTATCTCAGCGATCTGCACGAGTCCTGCGTCCTGCTGCAGGGCAAGGAACAGTCCACCGAGTACTACCAGCAGCTACAGTGTATCAAGCGGTTCAAGGATATCTTCAACACCCCCGAGCAGCTCAGGTAAGTAAGCGAATCTGCCAATCCCTCCGGCTGATATGGATTCTCTTGATCATCTGCTATCGATATACTATAAAACTTATTTCTTTCCTTTTAAAAGCCTGCCTCCCCAAGGATACAATCCCCAGCTGCTGCAAGAGTTGTTTGTAGCACCACGTCGTGGTGGAAAACTCGAACCGCACTGGCTCCGGCAGTTGCACGAATCGTCCGCGAATGTGTACAGCTTCGTATCGAATGCCGTGATTGCCGTCTGCCGCGAGACGGACAATGAGCGGCTGAACGATGTGGCCCTGGCCTGTGCGGAGCTCACTGCCAGCTGCAACGTCCTTTCCGAGGAGTGGATCGCGGCCCTGCAGAGCCTGTGCAGCGGTAGCAAGAGCCCCCGGTACCCGCATCTGGGCGGCCAGGTAGATATTGGCCAGGGAAAGACCCACAATGCGTTGGCCGTATTCGTGTGTATCCTGGTCGCCCGCCATTGCTTCTCCCTGGCCGATTTTGTCAGCAAGTTTGCCCTGCCAACCCTGGCTCGATCGGTGAGTGCTGGGGGTGGAGAAATGAGCGTAGATGCCGAGGCGGGAGCTCGTCTCACCTGTCACCTGGTGCTGAAGCTTTTCAAGACCCTGGAGATACCGCAGCCGGGCATGTATTCGGTAAGCACATCTCCCAATCCCCT